GGTTTACATTAAAGCATAGTAAATCTTTAATACGTCTTTAAATTCTAAATAAGTCTTTTCCAATATGTCAAAATGATGAAAAACAATTAAAATTTGGGATTGCCAGGACCGAGAAGAAACCGTAGATCTTTCAGCGAAAGGCGTTTTGCCTAACATTGCTATTTTGAAAATAATCATGAAATGAAATATATTCAGAGACAAATTCAATGGCGTTGCAACCTTTCAACTTGCCGCATTAAAGAGGATACGAAGCACTGGTTTGAATCATGGAGATGATTTCTGAAGTGTTTAAGATTTTTATGGTTGGAGTGAAGAATAACTTCGTGATCTTTACAAATGTAACTGGTAGTCGGCGACATTTGGAGGCGAGAAGGTTATACCTGGGACTTTGGATATGTTAGCAGTACTCGTTCGATTACGCTTATTTTGTGTGAGGAATGAGATCAGGATAGTCGTATATTAAGACGATTCGGTTCTTAATCGGAAAAAAGGGGGGAAACGGGAAAAAATCTGGAAATTGTATTGGCTTTATTCTGTTTGTGTGAAACAGTGTTGTAATTTTGGATCCAGGCCATAACTAAAGTGAATTGAAATGGGTTTATGTATGTTTAATTTAATGTATGCTCATTTATATTTTAAGTAGTGTTTTGATTTATTATATTTTAATTAAATGATAGTTTTTGTGAATTATGTTTGATTTGTATCCGTTAGTTGAAGTACCGTGCATGGAATTTTAAATATTGATAATATTTGTAATGGTTGCGGTTGAATTGTGGTACGTGTTATACTGTAATATATGATTTAGAGGTAAAGGTTTTTTGGATATTTTATTATTTAATGTGGAAATTTCTATTGGAAGGGTAAATACTTTTTCGCATCAGGTAATTTCATATATGTTCTTTTCCGGGTTAAGATGAAAAATTGTAATGTTTTGTGAATTTTTCTAATTTATGAGAAAAAAGCATATACAGGAATAGTTAAGAGTGTGCGCAATGCCATTTTTGTCAATTCTGGGATGTTTTTTAAGTAAAATAAGTTGACGTGTACATGGTTTAGGTATTTTAATTTAATGAGTTATTTTGTGAATTTTATGTTTGTAGGAATTTGGTACACGTTTAAGTTGAAGTAACGTGCATGGAAATAATTTAAATATTTGATACTAAGTATTTGTAATGCTGCGGATGAATTCGTTGGTGACGTGTATAATGTAATAGATGATTTAGAGGTAAAAGTTTTTGGATATTTTATTTATTTTATATGTGGAAATGGTATATTTGTAAAGTAAATACTTTTCGCGTCAGGTAATTTCATATATGTTCTTTTTACAGGTTTAAAGATGAGAAAATTGTCATTTTTTCGGAAATTTTTAATTTATGAGAAAAAAGCAGTGACATGGATATGTGAAGAGTGTGCGCAATGCCTTTTGTGCAATTCTGGGGTTTTTTTAAGTAAATAAGTCGCCGTGTACATGGTTTATGTGTATGTGTTATTTTGAAAAACGCGTAAGGAGTATGGTTTGTGCACTTTTTCCCATTTTTGCAGTGAATATTTGTCATGATTAAGCAGTTTTGTTAGATAAAATTTCTAGCATAAGTGTAATTCGGCTAGCAGATTGTTGGAAGAAGTGTTCAGTAGATAAAAAGAAAAGAAACATGTCTTTACTTCATGAAGACAAAATGGCGGCGGGAAAAAAAAAAATAGAGGGTTGCTGTAGAAGAGTTGGTCGCCAAAAAAACGCCAAGTTATCATAATGTAAAGATCAACCTTAACTTCAGTTAAATGGTGTGAAAAGCAGTTGGAAATCAGTCATGGAACAGTTGTGGATTGGAATAATACAGCAAAGGTTTCTGATTCTTTACTTAAATGTCAACAACGCAAAACAGGAGGACCTGGTATGATCATTGAAGTGGATGTAGGTATGTTCACAAAGCGCAAAAACAACGCGGGATGGATTTTACCACAACAGTGGATCTTTGGTGGAGTTTGTCGTGAAACAAACGAATGTTTCCTTGTGATGGTGCCAAACCGATCCATGAGTATTATATTAGAGGCAATAAATGAAAACATTGAAAAAGGAACTACAATATATTCCGATTCATGGAAATCATATTGCACTGAAAAACTGGAAGAGGAAAGTTTCGAACATTTCAAAGTGAATCATAAATACAATTTTGTAGATCCGGAAACTGGAACACACACGCAAAAAATTGAAAGACTATGGGGAAGCGCAAAATGGCGGAATAAAAAACCCAGAGGAACTGCTCGGCATCATCTGGAATGTTACCTCGCCGAATTTATGTGGTGAAAGGACACAAAAGACCCATTTGAAAAAATTCTAAATGATATTAAAATATTTATGCCTCCAAAATAAAAAAAAATAAAAAAAATTCTTAGAATTAACATTTTTTATGAGTATATTGTGTGTTGTCACCAATAAAGTCTGCTTGGCGAGATTTGCGCCGGCGAAACGGAAAAGTACCCAAAATTTCCCAGAATCATGCACCCAATTACGTCACAATAGGGTTTCCATAACATTCAACTACTCAGGCTACCATAAATGAAACAACAACTTGGCGATAAATCAAACAACAACTTCGCCATAATACAAGGGGTACCTTAAAGTCTACTCTACCCAAGAGGTCCTATTTCATGCCAGATAAACTAAGTATTGCTGAACTATCATTCTTATCTGTCCATGTCAGTTGGAAACATAATCTCATATTGGCATGCTGGATCTCATCAAAAAAGACTGTTTTAAGGTAAAAATACCATTGACTTAAAATGTGATCTTGATACACACATTTTGGTGTTGACTTTGACCTGCAGCCGAAAAAAGATGCCAACATCAGTTCTAGAATCGGCTCTACTCTCATATGCTCCCTAAGATCACCAAATGTGGTGATATGTGTTCTGCGCTGGTTTTTGGCGCAATTGCGTGTTATATGGCAAACCTTTTGATGTTGAAAACTCTTTTGCATGAGTGATTTAATTGCTCATTGGTTCGTGTCGAGAGTGTTTTGAAATGGTCTATGTTGCAATAAGAGACTTGGTTGCATGAGTGTCTGGGAGATTATTTTTAGTGGCTGTGCATGATAGAAGTAAGAAAATGCTAATGCAGTGTATTATAGAGTGGATTGAGCCTTGTACAACTATTTTTTCATATCGCTGGAAATCTTACAAGGATATAGGAAAAGAAGGTCTTAAATATTTATTTGTAAACCATAGTATGAATTTTCTGGATAGTGTCTCTGGCTGTCATATAAATATGATAGTGATTACGTGGCGGCATGTTAAAGGCGATATGAAATTGGTATTTCTCGTGTTCGAAAAAGCATTCATTCATGGTAAGTGCATTTTATTTTATTCTTGTTCTTATTTTGTACAATGTTTTGTTCATTGTTTTTTTTAGTATGAATTTCTGTCGTTATTGTTGTTTTTTTGAATAGTTTGAAATTAATTTTAGTTATTATAGTTTATTTTGTTGATTAGTGTATAGTGCATAGATTGTGCAATTCTTAGATGTTTTTTAAAGTTGAAACAGAATGCTGTATTGGTATTCTTTGAAATTTATTGTTCTCATGTTAATTTATTAAAGCAAGGTGTGTGTAGTTCGTAGATTCGTTCGTTGCGTAGACTGTGCAATTCGTAGATTTTTTTAAAGCTAAAACATATTGTTGTGTACATGGATTCTTGTCAAATATTTTTGGTTAGAAACTTTAAGTTTTTTGCTATCTAATTTTTTTTGGGGGGGGGGATTTTTAGCTTAAATTGTGTGGTCAAAACATGGTTTTTTTAGACATTTTAGGCTTAAAGTTTGAAATGTAGACAAAAAAATTTAGATAGTAATATGGCAGCGTGGAGTTTCTCGCCAAAAATGTTTGGCGAGAAATTTGTCGCTGCATTTGGCGACCTGAGGGTGCATATAAGAGTAGTTCTCTTGAATCTTCTAGTAACTGATGGTAGTGTTTCAAGACCAAAGAAAGTGTACAGTTCTATGTCTTGATATAAGCACTATAACATTTAAATTGATTAAAGCCCTTATAACATAGATAACATTGAAACAGCCCTTACGGAAATGTTAGTAGTAAAACCAGAATAGAACTGCAATGCTAGTTATGCCTATTGCTTGAAGTCATTCTTAAACAGTGATGCTTGACACATCTAAAGATGATGATTACCAACTACCATATCAGTTAAAAGTCACTTTACCTATGCTACACTCACTACATAATCAGTTCTGTCAAGTTCCACAACTGTCTCTTGCTATATTCTTATTCTTTTAAAAAACATTTAAAATGGAAACTTCAAGATCATACAGACACTCTCCGTATTTATCATTATAACATGTATCATCACCACCACAGTGAGAGAATTAGGAAATTTGCCACATTTGCTATATATGCAAAACAGTTTTCATTCATATATTTTTTAACATTATTCTTTACTTACCACTTAAGATCGAAATGTTGGTGTTGGTGTGTTGAGTTATGGCAAAGCACACGAAGGCTATCTGCCTAAGGGGAGGGATGCCTTGTGGAGGATTTTCCTAGGGGAAAATGACTCGTATACACGTTACACATGGGGAAAAACCACGAAAACGCCCATGCAGCCAGAGCCAGCCCGTTCGCGGGATTCGAATCTCGGACCGAACTAACAGTGTTCAACGACTTTACCGCTCGGCCGCTGGTGGGCTCTTAAGATCGAAATGAAACTTGCTGTTAAGTGGTTATAAATATTACAGAGAAGAGAAGCTAATAATTTTTAACTACCTGAAAATATTACTGCATTAGGAATAGAAATCATAAACAGTAAAGTTCTACAAATTGTAACTACAGAAAAAGAATAACTCTTACGGAGCATGCGAACTTTCATAAAACACAAAATATACAGTTAGAGAAAAGGTGACTATAAAAAATTGCTACGTTAAAAAAACACATAATTTTACATTTTTTAAAAAAATGATTCAACAGATACATTAATGAACTGAAATACAATCAAACCTGAGTTAGGAGTCATTGATATACTATTCGACGCCATTCTAAGTAACTTCAGATTAGCAGTAAAAAAAATTATTTCCCTATTTTAGAGTTAGATATAACTATTAGAAGTATTAAACAAAACACGGCGGTTTTGAAACCTGAGAAAACGATATGACACTTCCTTCAGCAATTCTATTAAATGACTAAACAGCCGAAACACAGCCGAAATCAACAATAAGTGGAAGTTGTAGTACTGTAAATGATTTGGGATGTGGCCAATCGCCTAGCTGACGACTAGGTCTTTTCCTGTTCACGATGATAAACCGAAAGAAAGAGAAATGCATGAAAATAGTCTTAAATTAAAAGCGCAAGATAATCTCATGAGTGTAGATGCTGAGTGGACCACAGTTAAACGCACTAAGCGTGTTAGAAAAAACAGCGGATCCTCTGTAGAATCTTTTCTAGTGAGCCCTCCCGTATAGCGCCTTAAACAAAAATCAAAATTCAGGTGACCCCGAAATGGATGCAGATTATATGCCAACACACTAGATTGCCGCTAAACAGCATCTCAAAAACCCACACATGAAAATCCCGCCGCTAGTCATAACTCAAAATAATATAAATTAGCTACAATTATGCAAAGAATAAAGCAATCTCTCGGAGTAACCAAACTAGAAAGTAAAAGAGGGTTATACCATTAGGGTGCAACTATTTAACATCGACGACTTCCGCAGAATACAAATAAATTTGGGAAAGAAAAAAATAGCTATTTCTTCATTTCTTCTAAATCCAGAGAAAAACATCAAGTCAGTTATCGTAGGATTGATAGCAAACATGCTAGCAGAAGAAGTTAAACAATAATTATTTAACCTTAATGTTTCTGTTTTAAAATGTCATCATTTGAAAAGAATGAGCAGTGGAATTCATACACTACTGCCAGTATTTTACGCAGAAATCTTGAAGGAAAAAGTCTACGAAGCGTGAGTCACTTACTTGATATGAGAGTAAAAATTGTCACGAAGAGGAGTTGGTCTGAGCTGATCCAATGCAATCTTGCGTACTCCCGTAATATTTTTAACGTTACCGGCGTACGCAAAGAGCTTGCTATAACAAACCTCGATGTGTAGGTGCTTTGAATAGCACAGATCACACGAGTGCCATATAAAAGGTAAAAAAGAAATTGCTGCCACATGAATGCTCTGCGCTGGTCCGCATGCGACCAGTAGCATTTTATACCCAAAGAGACGGGAAATAACGTATCAAATGAAGAGGAAGAAAATAACAAAAATGCAGTTTTTCTCGTTACTCCAAACATAACAAAAGCAAATTTATAAAATAACAGGGAAAGGAAAACATACGCAGCCACTTTTGCAGCAAAAAATGAGCATAAAAATATTAATAGGTCCCAGCCAGAGTAATAGAGTTAAAATGTAGAGTCTGAGTATAGCAGTTCAGATTCCTTTGAAGATTTGAAAAAGATGTTTTTAAATTAAAAGCACCCTATGGCAACTTAAAAATCAGCCAAAATAAGCAAGACATGATTGAATTCGGTTTAGAAGCACTTGAGTTATTCATTAAAATTTCTCAGGACTCGGCAGCCGAGTGATTTTAAGCAGTGACCAGCAACTTATCGCGAGTCCGATCCCAGGCGAACTTGTAAATATAAATATTTTTAGGGATTTGTATATATTTCCTACTTTCATTTTATTTGCTTTTTTATTTTTGAAGACTTTATAAGATATTTCTCCCGCCTTCTTAGCACGCCTTCGTGGTGTAGTGGTCGGCACACTTGCCGCGTATTCGAAATGTCCGAGGTTCAAGTCCCGGGGAGGACACTGCTCATTTTTCATGTCTGTTACTTAAAAAAAATATCCTAATGACTCTACAGTGCGCCCGAACTAAAACAGGTAGTGGATGATGATTCTCCACCACCAGAATTTGGCGACTGGGTCCCCCAATATCCAGTCATCCTTTAAAGGGGGGAGTATATAAACTATTTCTCTCACCTTCTTAGCTAGCATGCCTTCGTGGTGTAGCGGTCAGCACACTCGGCGCGTATTCGAGAGGTCCGAGGTTCGAGTCCCAGCGAGGGTATTACTCATTTTTCATATATATTGCTTCAAAATAGCCTAATGTCTCTACAACTTATTGTATTTTATAGATAACATGTTATATTTTTTATGCTTGTTTCTATTAGAATTGAACTTTTTAGTTATTTCGTCACTTGATTGCTGCGCTATTCGGATACTACCTAGATGACATGTCGCCATGATAATTGTTTACACAAAACTTTTAAAAATTTCAAATCTTTTTATAGTTACATTTTTGTATATTAGAATTTAAATGTCCTATAAAAGAAAATAACATTAGGTTTCACAATAACATTAAAGAAACAAGCTTTGAAATGCTGGGAAAAATGCATACAAATTAAAAAAGTGGGAAAAATTTAAAATGGTATAGTAGATTTCATTGAAATAATTTTAAAAGCTAATAAATTGTTAAACTCTGTTCATCTTGAGGTTTATCTATAAAGAAATTAATCTATAAAGAAGGAACAATTTTAAAAGGCCGAAGACTTCTATAGTAAATTTAATTCCTTCGGAAGTGATACGATGAAGTGAGGGAAATAGATAAATAAACAAATAAAATTATTAATTATTAAAGAAATCTATACAGAAGCAAGAAAAACAGCGTGACTTATAATGACATCGTGACTTCGAAACCCCAAGCGAATCACATTACGACAAAAGAAAAACTGCAGTTTCCTATTCCGTTTAAAGTGTGCAGTATATAAAATTTTAAAATGTAAAGAAATATCCTAATTAACATTTTTACTTATGCTTGTTTTAAAAGAATGTGAAGAATTTGTTTCATAATCTGTGAAAATTTCAAGACTTTGCAGCCGATACAGTTTGAGATGTTGAAATTTTGAAATATGAATGCCAAATATTAAAAAAAAATAGAACACTTTTACAAAATTCAGTAAAAATCAGAAATTATTAAAAAAATTTAATATAAATTTCATTTAAAGAATTTTCTTTCGCGTTCTATCACATGGTGCAAACAGTAAAACTCTGAGATTTTTAGTTTCTTCGTTAATTAAGGTATGAAAAAAAAGGTCAACAGATCATCAGTGGTTAAGCAGTGAAGTCACTGAAAACTGGTAGTTCGGTTCTGGGCGAATGGGCTGGTTGAATGGATGTTTTTGTGATTTTCTCCATGTGTAGTGGGGATACAAGCCAGCTTCCCTTAGAAAATCCAACACGAAGGCATCCTTTCGCTTAAGCAGATAGCCCTCGCGAATTTTGCCGTAATCAAACAAACCAAACCAACCAGATATTTCAGCATTAAATTAAAAAAAAATTCGAAATCACAGCTTCACCATATTGTATTATCATCTGCAAAAAGTGTATGTGTGTAAAATTTGAGCTCAATAGCTTATCAGAAAATAGTCTAAAAATCGATCACAAATTTTTGACCATAGCGATGAACGCCACGAATGAGTTAAACAAAAGCTTATAACAACAACAACAACAACATCAATAATAATAATAATAATAATAATAATAATAATAATAATAATAATAATAATAATATAATAAGCCAACTGAATCGCGGTTACTTTTCTGATTAAGATCTGTGCTATTTGTTTCAAAACAGGGTGGATCTATTAACTGGAATCTACTGTATATAATTGTTTCTCGCGTTCAATGTGGCAAATCACATTGAAGGATATTGTCTTTCTTTTCCATTTGCTTATGAAGTTTTATTTTCATCTCAATCAATGCAATATTTATGATTTTTTCCAATGAAGTTGCGTTTTATCTTTTTGTCCGCAAGTGGTATAGAAAATATTTGTCATCTTTACATAAAGATGCGAAGTTTGTTGCTATACCAACGCTTTCGTCATCAGACGTGGATGACAGGCTCTGAGATACATAAATTGCAATACGTTATGAAAAAGACAAAAATGGAATTATTTAGTAAGCAAATAATCAAGAAGCATTTCGTTTGACTTCTAATTTAATTGGACCAAAACATACTTGCAGAGCAAGCAGTGCGTGTTAGAAATTTGGTTTTTAAATGATCCTCTCTAATGGCTAAGTAAACACTTAAATACTGTCATCATTGCATACATTTGTGTTACCATGGATCTGTATAAATTTCGTGATTGTACCCAGAGGATAGTTTCAAACAGTGAATCTTCAGAAATTACGACATTTCTCATATGAGGCAATAACATGTTAGGAGGAATATCTGCAGTGGTTTGAGTTTTAAATGTATATAATTTTCAAGGGAAATTCATTCTTTAAATTATTGCATTAATGATTAGTAATATTTTTCAGCTTTAAATTATAAGAGAAACTATGCGTAGGTTATTTACATTCCTATTTCTGACAGCAGCTCTTGTCTTAAAAATGGTAAGCAAAGGAATTGTTTTAAAATAATTTTTAGCTGTAAATATATTCAAACTGCATAACTTGGATCAAATTAAAAAAATAATAACTTTCTGTTTCTTGCAATACTTGTTTATATTTATAATTAAAGTAGTTCAAAATTAAATAACCAATTTAGAAATCAATATTTTCAACTGAACGGCGTATGGGGTTATATATGTAAATATATTTACGTATGTAAGTTATATATAAGTTAATATATATATAACTCCATATGTAAGTTAATATATATACATAATCTAGTAAATGGGAAGTACTTACTAGGTTGTTAATCATAATTCTTTTAAGCAGAAATTCAGGATTAACTGAAGTAATTCTTGAAAATACATCTAGTATATTAAAATATTTGTCTCTAACCTACAAATTTATTTTTCTCATCATTGTATTTTTTCTCATAATAAAAAACTGGAATAATGAAAATAAAAAATATGCTCTAATATTCATAACAATTGCTTTTAAAAATCTGAAAATAATGTCTTTTCCCGGTAGATAAAAAGGAGCAGAAACTCTTCTTCCTTCTTGCCCTTAACCTCTCGTGAAAACTTTAGGCTAGACAAATTTTAAGTACCGTCATTCCAAAAAGTCACTACAGTCATAAAAATTCCATTCCTTACACGGGATTTATGACGGATATACATAAAGAAATACAGCAATTTCCATTTCAATTAGTAAATAGCTAATACATGTAATGGTATGTAAGTAGAGTATGAAATCGTTGTTCTTGAAAATAATTCTTTCGTTAATACTCATTGTTTATTTAGGTCTGCTTTAATTTAATTCTCTTC